AAAGCTCCTCGGTGGCAGGGCCCCAGGGGTGGATGAGATTCGCCCAGGGTTCCTTAAGGCTCTGGATGTTGTAGGGTTGTGTTGGCTTACGCGACTCTGCAATATTGCGTGGACATCGGGGGAAGTTCTCCTGGATTGACCATTATTATGAAATATTTATTCTAGTGATTAGTGTAGTTTTTTTTTTTTTTTAATAGGATAGAAAGAAAGAAAAAACAAAGTAAGACTCCCAAATATAAGAAATAATACACAAAGAGAGCACACGGCAAAACACCCGGACACTGTCTGTTCACCTGCAAAGAACATGACAAAACACAGCAACAAAATACATATGTATAAAGAACTTAAAATATTCATGGCTTTGCAGTAAGTTTCCATAAATATATATACCCATACCTACGCCTATATTCATGCATACATACACATGAATATACATTCATATACATATCTATATATCTACATATAAAGCCTACATAAGCATCCCTGCATCTATTTGTGTGTGGTTGTGAGCATGCATAAGTGTATAAGGCTTCTCTAATAGAACATTTAATAGTAACTGTGAAGCAGCAGAGACCCGACCCCCAAGACCAGAGGCAGACAAAAAAGGGGGGACAAGAGCCCAAGACCCCAGGAGGGACCCCGACCGCGGAGCCCCCAGGGCCACCCACACAGGACGAACCACTCACCCACCCCCCAGATCGGACCACAGGGGAGAACCGGAAGATCCCCACCAGCGACCACATGAAGTGACTCCCCGGGGCCAACGGCGACTAACTCATAGGCCTCCGCCGGAACCCGCCTCACCGATGCAGTTCCAGGCCCGGGCACCGAGGCCCGGGCACTGAGGACGCACACCACCCAGGCCAAGGCCTGACAGGGCCAGAGGACCTGAGCCCCACCAAGCAGACACCAGGCCGAGCCGACACAAGCGCCCAGCCCCCGACACCAAGGGCCCAAAGCGCGCCGGCAGGCAAGGGCACACCCCACCAGGGGGCCGCACAATAGGGGCGCGATGCCAAGCACCCCCAGTTGTATCAAAGAGGGGGCAGTCCGAGTCTCGGCCTAACAAATACCCATTCATACACAGACATAATCACACAGTCCCAGCCTCATTCTCATACTCACTCACTCAAAGACATACAATAACGATACATTTCATTCTTATTCCCAATACGCACTCTATACCCCCCAGGTCCAAGACATGTACCTGCCCTCTACAGGGGGCAGCCCATGCCCAAACCCAGGAGGTAGACCCATTCATTCTTGAATGGAGAGGAGCCAATATCCCAGACCCGGCCCAGGCCACGCCCAGCCGACAGGACACCCCCTGGCACGAAGAGGTCACGCCACCGACCACCCCCACACACCGCCAACAACCAAGCACGCTCCCCCAGCCGACCGCCTGCCAGGCCCCGGCAGCCACCCCGGCCAGCGGGCCAACCATGGCACCCAAGAGCCAAGCTCAGGGGGTCCAAACAACCCCAGGGAGAGCACAGCGCCAGCACCGCCCACGGCAATCCCCCAGACCCCGAACCCCCGCATAGTCCTGGTCAACACCCGACGGCCTGCCCTTCTCTCGGACCCCACCCCCGGAATGGCAGTTAGGGAACTATGGGGGTGAGGAAAGAAAAAAAAAAGAGAATGAGACCCTGACACATACACCCCCGCCCCTAGATGTGCTGTTGATGTGTGTTCTTGTATAGTGCCATTAAAAAGGAAAGAAGAAGGAGCAAAGGCTGGCATGATGCCAGTTTCCCCTCCACCCCAACTCTATCCAAACCCTAGTGTCTAAATGCAACCATTGTAAGTGAGCACAGGCACAGGGGGCGAGAGTAAAGTCATCCCACCACCCATAGCCATAGTGCCCACCTCAAGTTCCTATATGTGAATGTCATGAGGATGTTATGAGTGAATGTCTAAGGTGTACAATAAAATTTAGTCCCAGGTGGCTATGGTCAACAGAGATGTAAAATTGTTGCAGCACACCCGAGCCCAAACAACCCTAAATGTGTGGAATTGAAATGAAGAGGGTGGAGGTGCATGGTGAGGGATGGTGAGAAATATAACTGTGAGAGCAAATGCTCCCACAGGGAGTCAGCTCCCCCACTGACCCAACAGCTCCCCGCCAGTTCCCCAAGGTCCACCCAGGGATTGAGGCCAAGACACCTCTCCATCTGGACCGACCGCCAGGCCCGCTGAGCTCCAGACCAGAGAGGGACAGTGCCCCGAGGGCCGCCAGAAGCAGTACCAGTGGCCCACACACCCGAGGGCCGCCAAGACCCCCACAAACCGCAGTCAGCCCGCCACCGGATGAAGCCAAACCCAACCAGGACGACCCGGCCAAGAGCGCCCGCCCAACCGCTGACAGAGCCAGGAAGCACCGGGAGTGAGCCCCCACCACAGGAAAGGGGCCAGCCAGTCGGCCATGCACAGTCCCGGGCCGCCCCCAAGGACATCCACCCAGTCCCCACCCCAGAAGAAATACTACACCCACCCCTCATTCGGACATCTCTCAAAACACATAGCACACTAGACACCTAGGCTGGGTCAAACTACCCCCTCTTAGGTCACGCCCCCAAAAACCCAATCACCCAGCCCATGAACCCACAACCTACCAGCGAGCCGAAGGCCCCTGCCCAGAACCGGGCACCAGAGCGCAAGCCGGCCCAGAGCCCGGCAACCCGCCCGCCAGAGCCCAAGATCCCCGGTCCCCACAGGCCCAAGCCCGGGGGCGACAAGCCCCCAGAACCCCAAGCCCCCGCGCCCACCCCGAACTCACCCCAGCACAATCCAAAATCAATCCAAACAATCCAAAATCATGTTTTTGGATTGTTAAAAGCACCTAAGCTACGAGCTAAGCTAACAGGCAGACCTCGTGAAAAAACCTCCGTCTTGTCAAAGCTCCAAAATTCACGGTTGAAACCCGTGCCTTTGTGTAAAAAGTTTTTCCTCTGCAAAAAGAAGCTGAGAACTTGTTTACTGATTTTTGTGAAAAATGCTATGCTAAAGAGCAGGCATCCGCCATTTTGAAAACCGAAGAGAGACGGCCCATGTCACGTCAAGGGGCTTCCCTCCCATTTTTCTTAAAGAGACGCACTGCTCAACTATCCATCCTTTGGTTCAGACTGTCTTATACTGCCATCCGGTGGTCGAGAAAAGGTACTACATGCAAAACAAATTAAACATCTTAAATTTGACAATAATTACAGATTTTTGTCAAATTTCAATCAATATTATCATTTATCACAATAATTTCTGAGACAATTAATCACACAGCAACATTTGGTTATCGTGACAGGCCTAGGTGGCACCTCGCAGTCGTTGAGTCAACTCGTCTTTAGACCAAGGGATGCTAGAGTCAAATGTGAGGACATCTGTCCAACAGATGAAGCTTGGACCATACCCGGTCATGATGCAACAGAACATTGATCCCAAACACAGCAGCTGGTCTACAGCAGAACGGCTCAGAAGGAAAATAATCGATGTGCTGCAGCGGTCCAAAGACCATAACCTCCACCTGATCAGAATTCGTCAGAGAGTTGAGCAGAAAGACACGTCCTCCAACATCAATGAACTGAAGCAACGTCAGAAAGAAAAGTGGGCAGAATTCCTCCACAATCATGTGACAAACTGATGAAGTCCTACAGACAAGTCCTGCTGTGAGTTAATGCGACTGAAGGAAGTTCATTAAAAGCTGCTGGGTACCGTTTTTCACACACTGCTTTGACATTTAGTGTGAACAAATAATGACTCGGTGGACTCTGTCGTGGGTTTTTGTACATCAGGTTTGATTAGAACAACTTCAGAACCTGGTAAAGACTGGAGCACAATGTGAATTCTGTCTCCTCTCGTAGGACTCCTCTGATGATGGCATGCACTCGGAGGAACCTCGGTGTGATTCAGGAGCTGCTGGACCACGGTGCCAACCCCACCCTGAGAAACAAAGATGGCTGGAACTGCTTCCACATCGCCTGCAGGGAGGGAGACCCTCTGATAGTAGAGCACCTGCTTCTTGCTTCACCAGGCCTGTGGAGGACTGAGAGCAGGACGGGCAGGACACCGCTGCACACCGCAGGTGAAGCAGCCTCAAACAGGCGGCTCGAATGCATTCACAGCTGAATGCTAAAGCTATCAGTTAGCTAAGGCTAACTGGAAAAAACAAACACTGAACGTTAAATGACCACTGAAATCTAGTGAAAAGGCTGAAATTGACTATCTGAGTGGCTGAACTGTCAAATATTAGTGAAATAATGTGAATTAAGTAAAGTAAACAGTCGTTCTAGTAATATAAGAGGAATTATTTAAAGAGATGAAGCTTTGGACAAAAGTTAAAAAGACAACTTTTAGTTTGAAGTATCAGAACTGAAACATAATGATGGCCATTGACGAATGAATTGTAAATTTAAAAGCAATTAGAGTCACACGGAGCTGACACAAATGTCTAAATGTTGAGATATAATTTGTAAATACTTTGAAATCTCTTTGACTCCTTCAAAAACGTCCTCTGAAATCTGCTTCTGCTACTTTCTGTCTTTCTGTCTTCTTACGCTGCTTTTAGTTTTGAGCTACCACTCTGTTATTTTTAGCTTAGCTTTTGCTACTTTTAGCCACTGTTTTACTACTTTTAGCTTTTAGATAGCCTTTTATGATATTTGGCTACTATTTTTCTTCTTTTAGCCTTTAGCCAGCTTTTTGCTACTTTTAGATTCTGGCTAGTCTCCTGGCCCTTTTAGCTAGCCTATTGCTTCTTCTAACTTTTAGCTACCTTCTTGTTACATATAGCTTTTATCTGGCCTTTTGCTACTTTTAGCTTTTAGCTACCGTTTGGGTATTTTTAGCTAGACTTTTGCTACAACTGAATATGTTTTGGAGTTAGCCCAACCCAAGATGGCCACCACAAAGAACTGAAAAGTATATCTCAGCCATTTTTATAGCTGATGAGCTGCAATTTGGTGTGTTAGTAGCTGAGATTCATCTCCAACTTATACTCTGAGCACTAGCTGATTGTACAAGATCCGTGTTTAAAACGTGGCCATTAACCATTGGAAACAACTTTCAGTCTGTTAGTCTGTTAGTTTTAGCTTTTAGATAGGCTTTTACCTTTGACTATCGTTCTTTTAGCTACCATTTGGGTATTGTTAGCTAAGCTTTTGGGACAGTTTTAGCTTTTAGATAGGCTTTATTACCTTTGACTATTGTTCTTTTAGCTTTTAGCTACCATTTGGGTATTGTTAGCCAAGCTTATGCTATAGTTTTAGCTTTTAGATAGGCTTTATTACCTTTGACTACCATTCTTTTAGCTTTTAGTCAGTGTTAAGGTTATTTCAGGTTCTAGTTAGGTGTTTTGCTCCTTTTAGCGATTGTCCTGCTTCTTGTAGCTTGTACAGGAGGTTTGAGCAGCTTTCAGCTCAGCGTTCGCCCCGTATGTTCTCAGGAAACATGTTTTCTGCTCTTCCTGCAGCGATGCACGGCTGTGAGGAGGTTGTCAGGATCTTGTTGGAGAGGTATGTTGAAACACTGTTTGGGAAAACAATTGTCAAAACAAGTTGTATCTTGAGTCAAATTTAAAAGTTTTCCAGCTGCTCTACTGTGCAAAAGTTTTAATCACACCCCTCTTAATCACCCGCTGCCAAAGGGCGAATGCAGACGATGCTCTTGCACATGTCCGTGTGTTCCCATAACATCTCATGAACCACTTGATGGATTTTAATGAAACCTTAAGAAAGAAATCACTGCATGTACATCTGCAACTGATTACCATTTAAAGATGGCTGACACAGCTAATTGACATAAAATTAGCTGTAACTCCGCCAGTTTTCTGAATCCTAAAATTCAGTGTGGTTGTAGCTTAAAGACGTTCTCAGCTCATGCTCTGAGTAGGATATTTCACATGAAATGATGCCCAACATGCTCAAGTTTTGACCAAACTGACTACAACTTCTGCATTTCTCAACACAAGACGATCCTGGTCAGAAAGTCTGGCATTAAAAGCAGCGGGTGAAGTGTTTCCCGTCAAGAAATGCTAGCTCTTTATTTGATAGTCACTGAATGTGTTTTGTGAGACTTTGAGACAGAATCCAGTTCAGTGAGTTTTGCTGTTCTCTTCCAGATGTGCCTACAGTCCTGACAGTGGTGACAGCTGTGGAGTGACTCCTTTCATGGATGCTGTTAGGAATGGACACCTGTCTGTGGCCCAGCTGCTTTTAGACAAGCACCAGGTTGGACAAACACTTTCACTACAGTCGTGTTTCTGTGATCCCTTCATTCATGTTTCCACTCGATTTGCTTCTGCTAGGCATCTCCTGTGGCATCTGACAGACTCGGGGCTCAGCCCGTGCACCAGGTGGCCGTCACCGGCCAGGAGGAGGCTTTGAGGTTTTTGGTTCAGCACCTAGGTGTGGATGTGAACCAGAAGGCCACTGAGAACCAGCTCACTGCCCTGCATTATGCAGCCAAGGTTAGATCGGTGCTTTCCAACCAGAGACATAAAAGCAAAGCGGTAATGGGTTTCCTCATGTCCATGTGAGCGTATGTGCGTGCGCAGATGTCCGTTCATCTGTACCATCAACAAAAGTATAACTAAACTCATTTTAATGAAACATTTAAAAACAATTATTAAGCTGACATCAATAACTAAATAACTTCTGGCGTCAACCCAATTAAAGCCAAATGATTTTAGAAAACACAAAAACAACTAAAGCTCGGTCATTTTTTTAACTAAAATTTAGTGTGGAATTAGATAAGAGCCAGCCCCAACACAAATTTCAAGCACTAACAGATACTACAAGACATCTTATGTGCACAACGTAATTCACATGATTTAAACGAAAGAGCTCGTTTTAACACTCTGATATGAAAAACGGTGAGGATATGCATTTCTGTACAAAATATTAGGCTTTTACTGTTATAACAGTATGATAATTATTTGATTCAGTCATAACATGTTCTGTACAGATCTAAACACGTCTAAACATGTCTCACTTGTAAATGAGTCTTCGAGGCTCAATGTGATTTATCTGTCTAAATAAAGGTTGAATGAATGAATGTACGACCACCACCATCTGTCATTCTGGTGGAGAAAGAAACTTCCATCCATCCATCCATTTTCTTCTGCTTATCCGGGGTCGGGTCGCGGGGGTAGCAGCCTAAGTAGGGAGGCCCAGACTTCCCTCTCCCCAGCCACTTGGGCCAGCTCTTCCGGGGGAATCCCGAGGCATTCCCAGGCCAGCCGAGAAACATAGTCCCTCCAGCGTGTCCTGGGTCTTCCTCTGGGCCTCCTTCCGGTGGGACGTGTCCGGAACACCTCACCAGGGAGGCGTCCAGAAGGCATCCTAAACAGATGCCCAAGCCACCTCAACTGGCTCCTCTCGACGTGGAGAAGCAGCGGCTCTACTCTGAGTCCCTTCCGGATGATCGAGCTTCTCACCCTGTCTCTAAGGGAGAGCCCAGACACCCTGCGGAGAAAACTCATTTCGGCCGCTTGTATCCGAGATCTCATTCTTTCGGTCACAACCCAAAGCTCGTGGCCATAGATGAGGGTAGGACCTCCTCCCTGACCCGGAGAGGGCACTCTACCCTTTTCCGGCTCAAGACCATGGCCTCGGATTTGGAGGAACTGATCTTCATCCCGGCCGCGTCGCATTCGGCTGCGAACCGCTCCAGCGAAAGCTGTAGATCACGATCTGATGAAGCCAATAAGACCACATCATCTGCAAAAAGCAGAGACGCAATCCTAAGGCCACCAAAACAGATCCCCTCAGCACCTTGGCTGCGCCTAGAAATTCTGTCCATAAAAGTTATGAACAGAATCGGTGACAAAGGGCAACCTTGGCGGAGTCCAACTCTCACCGGGAACAAGCCCGACTTACTGCCGGCGATGCGGACCAGGCTCTGACACCGGTCATACAGGGACCTAACAGCCCGTATCAAAGGGCCCGGTACCCCATACTCCCAGAGTACCCCCCACAGGGTCCCCCGAGGGACGTGGTCGAACGCCTTCTCCAAGTCCACAAAGCACATGTAGACTGGTTGGGCAAACTCCAACGCACCCTCCAGGACCCTGCTGAGAGTGTAGAGTTGGTCCAGTGTTCCACGGCCAGGACAAAAACCGCACTGCTCCTCCTGAATCTGAGGTTCGACTATCCGACGGACCCTCCTCTCCAGAACCCCCGAGTAGACCTTACCAGGGAGGCTTAAGAGCGTGATTCCCCTGTAGTTGGAACACAATCTACAGTCCCCCTTTTTGAATAGGGGGACCACCACCCCGGTCTGCCAATCCAGGGGAACTTCCCCCGATGTCCACGCAATATTGCAGAGTCGCGTAAGCCAACACAACCCTTCAACATCCAGAGCCTTAAGGAACTCTGGGCGAATCTCATCCACCCCTGGGGCCCTGCCACCGAGGAGCTTT